CAACATTGGATAACTGGAGAGTTCCATTTTGTCATTAAAATTCCCAATATATTTAAATCGATCATCACGTTCACTGACAAACTGTGGTCCATCTCTGGGTAGGATAGTTAGAAAATTGTCATTGTGAGGTTTTTCTCTCGTCCTCCTCTGCCAGGTAATCTGTGTCAGGTCATCATTGGTATCCATGACATAACACGATAACATAGCGGTACCTCCTTGAACCACTTTCACATTTCCACCAATCACCCGGAGAGCTGTAAAGAGCATTCACACAAAAATTTAATGAATAATGTATGTGTGTGTGTGTGTTGGGGTGGGGGTGGGGGGTTAAGGGTGGTGTCTGAGAGGCAGATGTGCAAAATAAGGACAATCATGGATAATACCTCCCTCCCATTATGAATGAAATGTGCTCTATTTGGAAGCAGCCCTCCCCTGTCGACAGGTTGTGTGTGAAACTTTAAATCATCAAACTGTAAATTATAAATTTTAAATTGTTATTGATCCCTTTACCCCGAGTCCTAAAGTGAATATTTATTTTCTTACTCTTCTTATATTTATTGTTTGTTTATTTGCACTGGTGTAACTGAAGCCTCGTCGTCTCGTCTCTCTATATACTGGACTGTATGTAGCGGAGATGACAATAAAGTTTACTTTGACTGCAGCAGCAAGAAGGCGCACCGAGGGCTCTCGCGCTCACTTTTCGCGTATAGAATTTCGAAAAAAAAACATCGGTGCAAATTATAAGTCTGTATCATGATGTCTGGTGTTTTCGTGTTTGTTGTTTTGTTTTTATTTTGTTTTATTTTGCGAGTTGGTTATTAGATGCTGCTCCAGTCAGCCAGAGAATCCCCGTCCTCTCCTCCCTGTGTCGCAAGCAGCGGGCGCGCCTCGCAAACGGAGGGCGCCCTTATTCCCAGCAAATGGCCGTAAGAACACCGATCAGTGTCTATGCCATCCTCAAAATGCGCTGGCATGATGTCGGGGCACAGTACGAGCAACTTTTTTGCCGATGCCCGTGATGCCGCCCTGGGCAACCGTCCGTCTCGCCCATATCAAAAACAGTTACTGATGAGTACTTAG